CCTCCCTCCCTCCCTCCCTCCCTCCCTCTCCCTCCCTCTCTCTCTCTCTCTCTCTCTCTCTCTCTGTAAAACTATGGTATTGTGAAATTCTGAAAATATTCCAGAGGACATGACCTCATTAAATATGTTCCAGGCCTATGGAAAATACAAGCTGCAACTTGAATTATTATAGGGTTTTTTTTCATATGTTGTTTTTAGGAATAATATTTTTCACACAGGTACTCCAACCATTTTACAGGCATGAACAAATGCACATTCGCAGACAATATCACATTGATGCTTCTGACAAATATTCTCCAGATGATGATCTGGTAAACCTTGAAATTTTGGATGAGGTAAGATATGATGAGATGATGGATTCTTTCTCAGTACAAATAATGATCTTACTAATTATAATTGCCTTAAAGTTATTCTTGTGATTAATATATTATGTCATCAAGTTGATCATTCAAAGTTCTGACAAGATTTTTTAAAAAACCCACTCTGTAACATATTATTTTAATCTCCAATCTTATATTCATTTATATTCCAAATATTCAGTTACTTTGTTTTATACAGGACAACAGGTTAATAGATGACAATATTATTTAGGTTTGCTACAATGAGGAGATCAGATCTACGCATCAAAGTTAAATAGTGTATATTGTGAGAAGAGAGCTATATCCATTGGAAAGTTGCAAGTAATAAGGTCTAGGAGTGGCTTGCAGACCTCATTGAACCAAAGTTTTAAACTAACATAATTGCAAAATGTACCAGACATATTTATAATGTGCTGACTTGTGTGCTGCCTTTTCTGCAAAGTCTGTGCTTGAAACTGATATATTTAGAGCAGGAAGAATGAGATGGTGGGAAATGAACTGAAAGTACCAAATAGCCAAGAGCTTCAAATGTACATGGGTGTTTACAGAAAGTGACAATCAGTAAGAAAGTACAAGGAAGTGAAACTATGGAATGCGTAGGTCAGTAAAAAAAGAAGATATAAGAAATGTGGCTTGAGATGAGAATGGTGTCCTTTGCCCAATAGCAGTCCTTATAGGACTTGCTGTGTATCATTGGAACCCATTGCAATGGTTTAATAATGTAAGTTTTGTTGTGGAATTGCATTGCTATGTTGGCTATTCATGGTACGAATTGCTCATGAAATAAACCTCTGATCTTAAAGTAAGATTTATTGCTTGTGTTGCTTTTTCCTGTTTTTTATTGGGATATTTTTACAACAATGTCAAAACACAGATATGCACACAATTCTAAGTATAACACATATGGTTAAACCCCTTCATTTTCTATTTGAAAATATCAATACATGTATAGTGATACAGTTAAGCCTGTATTGTGGAAGGATAGAGATCTCAAATATCATTTTTCAAAAGTCTTCTTTGCATTCTGAATCCTGTCTCCTGTTCCTTGGAATAGCAGCTTTGTTCTTCTCGCTGCTTCTACCTATGTTCTGGGGAATCCCCCTTGCCAGACATTTTCTCCTTAACCATTATGTGTAAGAGAGAGAGAATTCCACACCCCGTATTACTTTCTAACAATTATTACAGTATTCCTATACAATAGTGCCAATTTTCCCCTTCATGATAAACAAACTCTCATAGATTATAGACAAAATTAAACAATTAAACACAAGGATAAAACATTTGGATCTAAATATTGAAATGTGGTTAATCAGTATTGGAAAATATGCAGTGATGTTTTGATCCAGGAGCTAATATCTGCAGATGAATCAAACACAAAAAACATCCAACAAAAGATATACCGTATTTTTCAGAGTATAAGACACTCTGAAGTATAAGACACACCTAGATTTTGGGGAGGAAAACAAGGGAAAAATATCTGCCTCTCCCTCTCAGCAATTTGCCTCCTTGCAACAAACAGTACAACAATATACACTGTTTGTAGTGTTATATTTCAGACTATACTTGTACCGATGCTGTTAAAATTGATGTGCTTTCTGGAAGTATAGTTATTCTCGGCTATTTAAAACAATAGCACGGG